CTATAAATGTAAGATTTGGAATTCTTTTCATTGTTATTTTTTTTTAACGTCTAATATATTGATATCAACTTGAGTTTACAGGAATATTGTATAAAACCATAATGCAAAATGATTGCATATTTTACAATTACATGAAACGATTTAACTAAAAAAATGAATATTGACGAAGCTATCTAGTGGAGAGTCTTACTCGCTAACAGATTAAATCTGTTATTTACTTCTTCGTAATCGATTCCAATCGGATGCGAATCATGTGCTTGGCTATCACCTTCTTGATGAAACTCCAAAATGTACCACACATATCCCAAATATACGGTATCAGAATATAAATCGTAGGAAATTCTTCCTTCATCGTCAAAATTCTTCCTTTTTATTGTTAATCAATATAAATCTTCCATCCGAATCTTATAAGACTTACTTAACCACAAGCCCATATAAATATAAGTAAATCAATTTCTCCCCAAGTACAGACGAAGCCCTAACCCTAATAAAACACTAAATTGATAACCACAAGCCCATATAAATATAAGTAAAATAAAATTCTCCCCAAGTACGAAGCCCTAGCTAAACCTAAAAAAACACTAAATTGATAACCATCGTATCATCGTTGTCAGAACAAGAAAAGAAAATTATGGAACTACCGCACGATCTGATGGAGCAAATCTTCGAGAGACTCCCGGTGAAATCTTTGCTCAGATTCAAATCAGTGTCAAAAAGATGGAAGTCCACAATCGAGTCTCCAAATTTCAACAAGAGACATCTTATCTGTCGACAACTACAAGATCCGGAGATCCTTCTTCTTGATTATCGAAAAAGTACTGGTACGTTCAGAACTAGGACATTTGTGGTGGGTTCTTCTGATGCTTCGAACCCTAGTCATCTACTTCTGATTGAGCCAGATAAGTTTGCAAATAAGACCACCTTTGACTTTGAGTATATGTATACTACAAGTTTTGATGGTCTCATATGCATATATGAGTTTAGGGGATATATATTTATCGCCAATCCAAGCATTAGATGGTATCGAGACGTTCCTCAAGCGAGTCTTCAAGCCATCCTTCTCGAAAGGAATGATGGATACGAACCAAGCCTGTTAGGATTCGGCAAAGACATATGCACAGGAACGTACAAGTTGATTTTGGTTATATAATTCG